GTGCACACGTGGAGGTCAGGTGCAGACAGTGCACACGTGGAGGTCGGGTGCACACGTGGAGGTCAGGTGCAGACAGTGCACACGTGGAGGTTAGGTGCAGACAGACAGTGCACACGTGGAGGTCGGGGACTTTGTAGCAACAGTTCTCCTTCCACCTTTATGTGGGGTCTGGGGATTGAACTCAGGTCTCCAGGCTTGCTCATGAGTGCCCTTACGTACATCCTTTCCTGATTATATACTTCTGTATAAGGTCATTAAAATTTAAGAATTGTTCACCTTTATGTATCCTAGAGAACCTCAAAACATTTTGTCCTTGATAGCTGATGAATTTGATTTTCTTGGAATGAACTTGATAACAGGGTGGAACTTAGCCATTTTGATGTTCTCCAAGTCAGTCCAGAGTTGAAAAGCCCTGTATTAATTTCTTATGAAATTTTGGCACTCGAATTGTTTGTTTGTGGACAAGAAGTTTAAGAACTTATTAATTTAAGGTTTAGGAATTTGCATAACTAGTTGCATGCTTGGGCAAACCCCTTGCATATTTTTAGTTTCTAATAAGACCTGTTGGAGTGTAGCTAATCAAACGTCTAAGAGGAAAATTAGTGATTCCCCACATTGGTGCTAATTGGCACGTTCTACATAATTCCGACTCTAATTCCGGCAGTATGTGTGTGCTAATCGCGAAGTGAGTACGAACTGGAAACAGCCTGCAGCAAGCTCCAGGGAGTGAGTGACAGAACTGCAGGGAAGAGTGGGGAGCCCTGGGTGGAATGGGCATAGCTGTGTGGGGTCACCTGCTTGGACTTCGGGACTGGCCCATGAGTGCTCAGTGGACGTTCATTTTGTGAAATGCTTTCTCAGATCCACTAACCACTGAGTATAGGATAATGTGTCTGATGTAACGAGCCCTGTATTTGAAAGGAAAAAATAACTAAGATCTTCAAGTTCAAGGTAAGTGTAGCTGAAGGCAGATCTAGGCTGCGGCTCAGTATGACTTAGGGAAGATAGAGCCCATCCTCTATAAGTGTTCAACCGAGCAAACAAGCCATAAGAAGGCTTGCAAGTTTTGCTCAAGAAAAGTGCACTTTGTGATATCCTCCCGCCAAGAATGAGAGGAATCTTTTAGAGGTGTATGTGTAGCTGTCAGAGTCTGATGGGATGACAGTTTATGAGCAGAGAGTTTAGCAGATGAGAGATGTGTCCTTCAAAACAGCCCTAGTGTTAGCAGTCATGTTTAAATGGCCACCTAAAGCTGGCCTGGTGGCTCATGTCTGTAATCCCAGCACTTAGGAGAAGCAGGCAACAGGATCACCCATGAGTGTGAGGCCTTCCTGGGTTACATAGTGAGTCCTACACCAGCTGTGGCTGCATGGTGAGATCCTGTTTCAAAACAAACAATAGCAAAGTACCTAAGGTACAGCCTGGTGACAGTCCCAGTGCCGGGGAATGTCATCTTCTTTATTCTTTGTCGTTGATTACTTTATTACCGTGTTAATAGAAGAGCATGATCCCAGCCTAACCTCTTCACCACAGCTGGCTAGTGCCTGGCTCCCTCTGAAGGCAGAGGCTGTGGCCTGAGGACATGGGAGGAGACCCAGCGTGGAGCAAGTAGTAATTATGCTGTAATTCCATAATACATCCCTTTGACCCCAGGTCAGGCCCGAAGACTGTTTCAGATTTATCTTCCTCATAATACAAACCCTCGTGCTGAGACTACTACAGTGTGTTTAGACAATGACTACAATATTTCAATGGAGAGTGTCTCCCGTCTGTTAGAAGTTAGACCTCATGTTTGTTTCCACCTGATCTGTCTGCAAGATTCTGGCTGGGATGGAGCTGGACACAGCATTTTTGAGTGCAGCAGTGTGAATAAGTTCCCCCGGAGCTCTGAGAATCATAGCAAAATCATAGAACTGGAAGTATTTTTTTTAACTATTTTTATTGCCGTAAACATAAATTTGCCCCACTAACCACTCATTGCCCTGTATGTTCTGTTCATTCAGTGGCAGTAATTATATCCATAATAGTCTTCACTCCAGCCTATTTCTAAACTCCAGTCACCCCACAGAACGTCTGTGTGCATAGACGCCAATTCCACTGTCTAGTCTGTCTTTCAGCCTCCCTTGAGTTCCTCCTTGTTTTCCCTCATGCTTTGCTCATGGCTTTCTTAAATCTTTGAGCATTTTTGAGACTGTTGGCTTCCATTCTTTGGTAGGTCTGACGTTTGGTCTTCCTCGGGGATGTTTTCTATCCCTGATGTCCTTGCTTACAAAGGCCATTCTTCGCTGTTTCTTTGTGCACTTCGAGACTTCTGTTACGGAATACTGGGCACAGTGAGCCCGTGATGGTAGTGGCTCTGGGAAGCAGAGGGTGCACTAGGTGACTGGGTTAGCTGGGGTTCCTCCTCAGGCTTTACAGCTTGGCTCTAGTTCTCAGAACCAAAAGCTGTTTGTGGTTTCACTCCCTGCTCCATGCAGAGCTTCAGTTCATCCAGGCGAAAGCCCAGGCCTCCTCAGGCTTTCTCCAAGCATTTATCTTTCCAAGGACTGGGGTGACTTTGTTCTTTGCCAGTGACACAAGCACCCTCAAACACCCTGGTTT